TCCCCCCACACCTAGTACGTGTACCTCTTTTTGTTTCTGTGTCGCAGTTTTTGTGGAGTCTGAAGGTGGAGGGAAATTCCAAATTGGAGAAGCAGAATTTCTTGGAAAGAGTGACTGGGCTACACAGTGGTGATGGTAAAAAAGATTTTTTTTAATTTAATTAATTTATTTATTGCATCATTATTTATTTTGTGTATTTTTCATCTCATTTGTAATCCCCATGAACCTCCCACCACCAGTTCACCCATGTGCCATCACCATATTCCTATGTACTATTCCCACCCCAGTTTTGATCCCATTCCCCTTTCCACCTTCATAAAATGTCTCTGTTTTATAGTTGTTCATTGTTTTCATTTTCACTTTATTACAGTTGCTTTTTTCCCTCCCTTATCCCTTACACTCCTATAAGTGAAACCATCCAGTATTTTACTTTTTCTTTCTGGCTTATTTCATCACTAAGCACAACCCCTTCCAGCTCCATCCATGTTGCTGCAAAAAGCATGAGTTTATCTTTTTTGATTGCCGAGTAATATTCCATTGAGTGTATGCACCACATCTTTTTAACTCAGTCATCTATTTTGGGGTATTTGTGTTGATGCCATGTCTTCCTTATTGTAATAAGAGCAGCAGTAAACATGGGTTTGCAGGTGTCCTTTTGAATCTATGTTTTTGTGTCCTTTGAGTAAATACCTAGGAATGGAATTGCTGGGTCATATGGAACCTCCATGTTTAGCAGTTTACTACAATGCCATAATAATCAAAATTGCATGGTACTGGAACAAGAATAGACATACAGACCAGTGGGTTCGAATAGAAAACCCAGATATAAACGCACAAGTTTATGCACAGCTAATCTTTGACAAAGGAACAAAGAATATGCAATGGAACAAAGAAAGTTTGTTCAACAAATGGTGCTGGGAAAACTGGGCTGCTATGGGTAAAAGGATTTTTAAGGTAGCAATATTCGTTCTGAGCTAAAAAGTGGTTTCAACACAGTTGGCTAATTTCGATTCTCCTATATTTAAACTTCAGCTAAAACTTAAACCCTAAAGGATAAGGAGATAACAATCGTTTGGAAATTCAAGCACGTTAAGTGTGAAATATATGTCCCAAGTCTTAACAGAGGGGATCGCTGAGAAACAACTCAGCTTAAACCACAAAATCTTCGAAAGGTTCAGGACTTGCTACCTCAGGAATTAAGAGGGTGAAGAGAGCTGCTGGAGAAGCAATTAAACTCTAAATCCTTCAGCCATGTCTCAGAGGGACTATCTCCTGCCAGGCCAAAGTTTGGAGGTTTCATTGCAGAGGGTAAATTCTCTGCTGTGCGCTTGAGTACTATACCTAAAAGGGAAATAAGTGACTTTGTGCCAGCCAAAGATACTGATACAAATGTTGCATTGACAAACCATGTTCAGATCACCCTATAATAAAATTTAAAGTGAAAAACACCAGCCAACCATTCAGAGATACCTATCTTTTGCTGTTTATCATAGTTTAATCATGGACAGCAACCGAGGAAATGCAATAATATAAGAGTCCTAAATAACAGAGAAAGGAATACAAGGAATAGACACTGTAGGGACGAAAGTAAAACAAAAATAGTTTTCAAAGTGAAAGATAAGAAAGAATAGCCCAAAAGGGAAGAGATCATCAATGAAGTAACTCAGTCCAACGCACTGAATGCTCAGATGCTGTTTAATAATTTTTTTAGCAACAAGGTATTTTTAAATTAAGGTGTACTTTTTTTTTTTTTAACTCATAGGGAAACACAAATTTTCGTGTGACTTGGTTTATTGTAGTGATCTGCATTGGAACCCACAGGATCGCCAAGGCATGCTTATAACCTCTGAAATGTTACAGGATGTTTCAGTCTTACAGTTTGTTTCAATCAGAATCTGAAGAAAGTCTACAGCATTAAGAGTGAAAAAAGATTTAAGTAATTCAAGAAAAGCTTCAAGTACTCAAAGACATGAATTTTCAGAATGAAAGGAGGAAGAATAGATCCTAAGCTTTCAGAGGAGAAAACAATCACAAAGGATCAAGTATCAGGGTAACATCAGATTTCTCAGCAATAGCACCTCAAAGATCAAAGAAAATATGTAGCCTTTAAAATTTCCAATTTTAACTGACATTAATATGAAAGTACAGGCTTTTAAAACTTGTAGACTTAAAATATATAGGCATTTAGGTGGACTTAAAATTCTGCCAAATTATCAGTCAAGAGGAACAACATTTTCTAATACTTGCATATCATGCACTCTTTCTCAAGAAGCTACTAAAATGAAAACAAGGGAATAAATAATGAAAGAAGAGGAGCAGGAAACAGATCTCAAATGGGAACATGAAGATGGAATCTCCCCACCTCCCAAAGATGGCAATTGCTGTGGTAACTGCAGAACTTTAGAGAACATCTAGTCCAGAATAGAGCATAGTGGGAAGAATTTGTAAATTACATGCAAACCCATTTATCAGTAACCAAGTTCTCTCTAAAGTGAACAGATAGTCAAGATGAAATCTGGGGAAAAGATTGTCTAATTGACGAGATATTCAATAATGGTGGTATAGGACTGAGACTGTTAAACCTAATAAAGAAGTATATTCTTTATTATGAATGGTTTCACTGAGCCTAGTTATCTTTTTTTTTTTAAGGTTTATTTATGCATATAGAACTCTGGGATACAGATCAGAGGTGCAGGTGTGGTGAGAGGATTCACCAAAGACAGAGTGGGGAGCAGAACAGGCAGATCAATGAAGTACACTGCTGAGGGGAGCAGCAGGCAGGTCAGGCGAGTTCTGCCGCACCATGTGGTCACCTCCGGGGCGGGGATCGAACTCATGCTGAAGTGGTTTTAGCTTCTTAGTGCTGTGCTTCAACCCACTGCGCCACCAGCGAGGGCCCGAGCCTAGTTATCTTTTAAGAAAGACTTTGATTCTCAGAGAGTCAAGCTATTCTGTAGTATAGAACACATATCTATCTGCTATACTTCCAATAAAGTTGCTTTGAACCTATAAGTCGCCAAATTTTTAATAGCTACATAAAAACCATGCTCATTATGAGACTGCACAGATTGTATTGTGTGAGCTGATGTGTCATCTTCCAGTTTCTTGGATTCCAGTCTTTACCTCCTTTAATCCATCCAGAAATTCTAGTTTTCAAATCTTCTTGATAAAAATCACCTGCAAAGCTCAAATACAGGGTCCTGGACCCTGTTCCCATAGATTCAAATTCAGAGTCTGAATAGAATCTGTGAACGTGAATTTGGAGTAAAAGGTGCTACAGGTGTTTGTGGCACATAATTTGAGACACACTGCCATAGTTAGAGCTTCATAATCTTTGTAAAGTACAGTTTTGTTTTGTTTTTTTTTTTTTAAACAACCACATCACCGCCTTTTAAAAAAACCTTTCTCCATGTAGTATGGCAGTGTTTAGTGGGAACTCAGTTCTTTTTGAAGATAAGTAATAGCTGTGAATTCTCCTTTAAGTACATATCCATATTTATTCTCTGAACAGTTTTGAAATTCACCAAACTACTGAGTACTTGAGCTTATGTGTAAGACTATAAAGTGATTATTCACAGAGACATCCCTCAACTTCATTACATTTCTTTTCACTTGACATAGTTCACCCAGGCTCCATTTTTTTCTGAAACTTCCGAGGTCTAACGTTTATCCAAACGGGTCTTGATTCTTTCTCTTGGAGGCTCCCAACCATGTACAAGCCCTTTCTACATGATGACCCTTATATATTAGAAAACAACCAACATTTCCTTCTTCTCCTCTGTTTCTCAAATCTTTCCTTTTCTAGGCTTAATAGAATTTTCCCCATATAGCAGTTACTTGACTTTTTAGCCTCTTACCCACTATCCTTTTGATGAGCTTTAAGGACATGGTGCAATGTTAATCCACACATTCCAGGAAAGGCATCCTCTAGATAATTCAGGACACAGCAAAACTGTTAGGACCTGCAAAGTGACATGCCTCATGCTCTCTGGACAGTGATATCCCTCTTGGCTCATAATAAATTAATGATGAGCAAAAACCCTTTGCTATGTCTGCTTGACAATATTATTATTCTGTCAGATATTTTCTCTTTTGTCATACCGTTGATTTATTTAACTAAGACAGAACTTTATGCTCAGCTCTTGAAATTGCATCTTAATGGAACCATTCCATCCAGAGTGTCCTCCCCTACTCCATTAGAGAGGTTTACAAAAGAGTTGACAGCCTATAAATAGAACCTATAAATTATATATGCACATATATAATACATGTGCTCATGTACAAAGACTAAAGCGAGAAGCCTCAGAGACTGAAGCGAGAAGCCTATAGAAGCCACTTTCCATAGCTTCTATGTAGCTCATCTTTATGATTTTTTGCTGCAGCCATGCATGCCATTTCATTAGGTGACTGTATTAGTTTGCTAGAGCTGCTGTGACAAAGTGCTGTCACCCAAGCGACTAACACAACAGACGTTTATTGTTCAATAGTTATAAAGGCTAGTGTTCAAAATCAAGGCATTGGCAGGGGAGAAAATTCAACCAAAACCAGTATCTCTGAGTCATCACCTACCTTGTTGTGTCTGTTTCTTCCAGAAGGCTGGAGACACAGAATAGGATTCCCCTATATTACGGTTGGTTTTTAAATACGAGAAATTTGCTTTCACTATCATGTACACTAAGAAGATGGTGATGGTGACATTGGTGGGAATGGTAGTGGCAGTGGCAATTTTATTAAGAAAAACTGCATTTCGGGACTGAGGTTTTGATG